TATTTTTTATTTAATTTATTTTTTTTAAGCGTACAGGTTTCGAATATTTTAAAATCCTTAAGGGGTCATCCATTATTTTCATCATTTTCACGCGCGTACAAAAGGTACGCTGGGGGGAGGGGGTTGAAAGTGTGTGTACGCTTTTCAAAAAGTACAAAAATAACGATTTGGAAATGTTAGCCCGCGTTGTTGTACCTAGCAATTCACGAGTAATTGTTTATACACAGCGTCATCTTGCATCCCTGATTAACGATGTGTTGGTTAAAGCATTGTGTACTTATAAACAATTAAGGGAAATGCACTCTAGCCAGGGGCGGATCCAGGATATGAAAGAGGGTGGTTTAAAATGTCTGAAAAAACCCCCAACATTAAAAGGGGTCCTGGGAACTTCCCCGGGAAAATTTAGATTCCTAGATGGCCGGAAATGAGCTTTCCCGAGTTCTGAGGAGTTTTTAATGACTTTTAAGTTCTTCAAAATTCAAGGTTTTCTCCTCTTGAAAAAGATCAGGTAATTTGATCTCATTCTTTAGGCCATTATATAGAGAAAAAAATCAAAGACATAGCAATATATTATTATATTCCAACAAAACGCACTTTCGTACATACATTATTACGACATTGAACCAAAAACAGTTTGTATAATTTTATTTAATTGAAGGCTAGTTGGGCTAAGCATAGTTTGTCTGATTTGCCAACCTATATGCCTAGGTAGGTTCAGGCGCGAATCCAGCGGGGGGCCACGGGGGCCCGTTCCCCCACCCCTGTCAGTCACGCCGAAAAATAAAAAAAATTGAGAAGAGTTAAAGGGAAGAAAGAAAGAAGGAAAAAAGGAAGTGTACCCATGAGTTCAGTGACGGATCCAGCAGAGGGCGGAAGGAGAGCTCGATTATTTTACCACTCACTAATTTTGAATTTTCTATTGATTGTCAACGAACACAACGCTATTATCCCCGACGCATCAATCAGGATGTAAAAGGCCAAAAGGCGGAGACCTAAAGACAGAGTTTTTTTAGCCGGAATGTAGTACCCAGCTATAGAACAGCTATCCATGCTCAGCATGGAGTAACGCCTACGCGTTCTCGTGCTAAAATCCGCAGGCCACCGACCCTTTATAACGATTTTGATAAACAATCATAATTCTCTGTACTATCTACTAAACATTTAACTAATGAACTTCCTTGTGTTGTGGTCATATTAGACCGTTATATTTTTAAAGAAGATCCATTCAGCAAACAACATAAAACAAAATTCCCACGTCGGTGCATGCATAAAACGTATAATTTCCTGAAATTTGGATATAGAGCGGACTTCCTTATGATTTAGGGCTAAGGAAATATAAATATATACGGGTCTGAACTTTGTAGGTGACAAAGTGTTCTTCCTTATGTTGTGGTCATATTAGAATATAATATCACTAAAGACCATTCAACAAACAACATGAAACATAGGGCCTATATCAAACTATTATGTTGAAATTTCCGCTTCCGAGCATGCATATAACGGAATTTATTAGATATATATTTTCATGACAGTCGAGAATGTACTGATTATATAACTTATAGATAATTACTGTTGTCCGATTGTGTGCATTGAAAATGTGATGACGAACTCGGGATGCGAACCTCGGTTGACACTCATATCAAAGGGCCTGTTAATTAACCTTGCACATGAGCCTGTCGTCACCTGCTACAATGCCTTCTCCTCCTTATCATCATAACATATCATCATCATCATCATCATCTTCATCATCGCAATTAATTGTCCATGCTAAAATGGGGAAAATATATTAATTCAGTGTGTATTCACCCCCCCCCCCCTAAAAATTACTCCCCCCCCCCCCCCCCCAAATAAATAACGGTCAAGTAGTTAAAAATCACCTAAAATCATAAATTTAAAGACCGCTAGATACGCCACTGTCTATAGCCCCTATTTAAATTGTACTTTTGGAGATCTCCATGGATCACTTATCATCTCTGTTAATAATGGACTTTTGGATTGTATCAATCAAACTTAACAATAGATGATCGATTGAACCAATGAACATTAATAGGTTGACTGACCTCGAAGTTTCAAATATGAACAAACATTTTATCATTCTTCATTATCTAATCAATGTTTTCAGGCCAGTATTATTTGTCGAAAGAAGATTATCGAAAGTCATTAGGCTCATATCGTACTGATACCTCGAAAAAAGAAAATTTAGTGATAATTAAAACAATATTATCTACGTATTCATATTGTTATAAAAATAATTGCAATTTAACTGTTGATACCTTAAAATATCTTGAGCCTGGTGTGTAATTACTAACGGTATTTGGCAAAAGCAAGCCTGTAAATTGATTGGTTCAGCACTTACTCCGAAGAAATGACACCTATTTGGAGGCAAAACAGGCTGCATTGTAATATGAGTCACAAACAACATCCTACACATGAATCTGCAAAGCAATCCTACAAGCTGAAGAACCAGCAGTACAAAGGGAATCTAGACACTGCGAACCAATACAGTTACGCGAAAGTATTCAACATGCAATGGCGATGTGCGGGAAATGTATAGAGGTATAAACCTTGCCCTTAACATAAAAAAAGGCTCTTTAAAAAGCAAATGATGGCAAAAAAAAATCAGTAGAGCACTACAACAACTTTTAGTGCTGAAGCTGACAATGTCTTTCTATCTCAAATACCAGCTTTACCAATTAACATGAGCTTGATACAGAAGAACCAACAGTGGAGGACCTGAACTGCAGTAAACTCACTCTCAAACTGGAAAGCCAGGTTCATTGTTTAAGTGCTAAAAATGTGAACGCATAATATGCCGATCGAAGAGTGGACTGATCAGTCACCAAGGAAAGTGTACACCCAGAGACTAAGTGTACTCCAGAAAAAATGTATGGTGTCTCCCAGCATCAGGAGTTGATGAACGAGTGCCATAATTAAAGAGGTCAACTTATTTGTTTTTCAGAAGGCTACAACAGATGCGAAAACAGGTCAACTTTTTAGATTATAGAATTTAGAGTCGGTTTTGAATTTTTTAGCTACTAGTTAAGAATGGCAAATGGACATTTGCCTTGGATATTAGCCTATTGCTAAGTTCTCACCAAACAATTGCGTAAACATACGCAAGTTTAAACTTACATGTTTGCGGAACATGCACGTTTTCCTAACCCTTTTATGGTGATAATAATAATAGTAACATTTATTTCGAAATAGTCATATAATAAAATACAAATATAGTGATATAATTATTAAGTATAAATATAAATAGAATAAGGACTATTTCAGGAATACAATAGATGCTGTCTTATCCAATGTTATGGTGATAATTAAGCGTTACATTTTATGGTAGTTAACACAAGATGATAAAAATTATTTTTATCCCTATACAGTTAGTTCCAATGAAAGTGTAGACGTATGTAAACACAAAGCTGTATTAGTCTTTCGCTGGTATACATTTATCAACCAAAAAACACTGATTAGATAAAGGATAATTAAGATAATATGTGTATGTCGATATTAGGCTATATAGCTTTGAATTGAGATAGGTACAGGTCAGTGACTTGAAACGGGTCAGTGACTTGAAACGCAGTTTTTTTCGGAGGTGACATAGGCCTATATACACTTTAAACAGTGTAGACCGTCATGTTTTTTTCAAATTTATAATAGGACCTACCCCTACAACGAAGCAGTGGTGGCGTCAGCGGGGAGGGGGCAGGGATGGCATTCTCCCTTCCCCTATTCAGACAGGCCTGAAACCCCTGTCGCCTGATGTTATGACGAGGTATGGTACATCTAATACTGCTGGACAGAGAAACAGACGTATATAAATAAGGCGAGACGTTTTTCATATCTTTTTTTCGAATCCGCCGCCCGCCAATAATGATGATTGGCGGGCGGCGCCAATCCCAAAAAGTTTAGAAAAAATAAGTTGTTTTTTTCTTATTTTTTTTTACTCCCGCCGCTGCCTTGAAATCTCCAGCGTTGTTACCCCTGCTTTTAATTCATAATTGGTTATAATTTCAGAAAGACAAAAAAAAAAGAAGAAAAGAATAGAAAAATCACAAAGGTTACACAAAGACAAGAGGTGACACTCTTTCTATATAAAACTTCAGAAACATAAAATCAAAGAAGTGAAATAAGAAAGGAGTAAAGGTAAGAATGTAAAACAAAGGAAGCAGTGGCGTGGCTAGGGGAGGGTGCAGGGGGAGCCCCCCCTCAAATTACTCGCGTCTCCCAGTCCCCCACCCCCAAAAAAACAATCACGGTCAAGTAGTTAAAAATCACCATATTTTGCGAATTAGCGCCCCTCAACTGATCA